GCCAACGATTCTGTAACATCTTCCTATGTTGACAGATGTAACAGCACCAGAGGGAGTGAGGATGTACTAATATGGGTAACTATTGAACCGCTATGTTTTATATTTGAAACCAATATAAGATTGTATACCAATAGTGCTTCAATAACAAAAGAATATATGATTGAGTGAGACAGCAGAATAGGATGTTCCCGATTATATGACTCACAGGAACAATAGCATAGTGCGGCACCCACCCAAGAACTAAAGTGTCCTTGCAAGAGCTTCACGATCCAGGTAAGAGATATTAAAAGCACAGCAGAGCACAAGACTAAGAGAGGTGTTTCTCAGCACCCACACGGAAAGGTCTTTGAAGTGGTTCTGGTTACAGAATAGCCCCGTCATCCTGCGGACTCAGCTGCAGCCTGTCTTTGAGTCCTGCCACGCATGATCCATAATTAGCCCTGGAAGCCACACCAGCTCATGTCCCGTAGGCATGTCCAATGGCCTTGTCCTGGCTGTGTATTCTGAAACCACCCTAAAACCTCATGATGACCCCACTCAGCTATGCTCTCATAACACGCCTGCAGCATGAGGAATCTGACAGGAGACCTGCCAATCAATGTGGTCTGAGGCAGCCTGCAGACTTTGGTTGAATATGTGGATCCTGAAGTAGCCCGGAGACTTAGCTTCTGGCCTGCTCATCCATGGCATAGGGCATAACTGGCCTGACATCTGTGCATGCACAGAGCAACTCTGAAGTTAATCTTTAACCCATAGATAGCCCACTGAGCATGGTACCAAAGGCAGTCTCATTTACCCAGGGATATGAGGGTGTCTAAATGTGCCGAAGATCTTGGTAGTAGGACTGACACAAAGGTATCAAAAAGAACTTAAGGAACAATAATTTGAAAATGTATACACAATATAAGAAGGTGCAAATTATGTCATCCATACACTAAACACAGGTGTAGAACTTTTGTATGCTCCTAAAGTTAGTTATCAGTTTGAATGAGACTGCCTGTTTTATGGAAGCCTCATGGTAACAACAAAGTAAAATCTTGTAGTATATACAGGAAAGATAAAGATAAAAACATCAAAGTATAGCAGTACAAAAATTTTAAAAATCACAAAAGCAGACAGTAAAGAAGAAAGGAACAAAATCACTACAAAACAGTTAGAAAATAATTACCAAAATGACAATTATAAGTTCTTATTAATCAATAATTACTTTAATTCGAAACATTTAATTCTGCAATCAAGAGTTAGTGAGTGGACAAAAATCAAAACTCAACTATATGCTGCATCTTAGAGATACACTTTACCTTTAAGGATACATATATCCTAAAAGAGAATAGATGAAGTTGTTACTTCTTGCAAATGTTAGCCAAAAGAAATCAGAAGTGGCTATACTTATATCATCCCAAATTGATTATAAAACAAAACTAAGTCCAAGAGGCAAATAAGTCCACTACATTTTGATGAAGCAGTCAATTAATCAAAAGTACAAACCAATTGTAAATATTCATACACGCATTGTTAGTACACTATTAAATACATGAATCATTAAGATAATTAAAGGTAGAAAGAGACCCAGCAATAGTAGAGGACTGCAATATCCCCACTTACAGCAATGGATAGATCATCCATTCAGAATCACAGTAAGGGGTTAGTTGACTTAAACTAGTCTTTAGACCAAATGGACCCAAAAGACATACACAGAATGTTCCAACCAATTGCAACTGAATAAAAATCATTCTTCTCAATTAAACATGGAACATTCTCCAGGATAGATTGTATTTAAAGTCTTAACCATTTTTAGAAGATTCATATCATATAAAGTTTCTGTTCTATTAACAATGGTACAAAAATTTGCATAATAGAAAGATAACTGGAAAATTCACATTTATGTGGAAATTAAACACTCTACTGATGAACAACCAGAGAGTCAAAGAAGGAAATAAAGAAAAATTAAAAATAAATATAAATAAAATAAATATATCAATATATATGAGATGCAGCAAAAGCTTATAAGAATTAAATTGGAAGCACTAAAACCTACATTCCAAAGGTGAAAGATGTTAAATGAACTATACACATCAAGGGTCTAGAAAAAGAACAATAAATCCAAGTTACCAGAAGGAAAGTGCTAAAAGTGTTGCAAGAGAAATAAAATAAAGAATAGGAATGTGATAGAACTATCAATGAAGTTAGGTTTTTTTTTTAAAATATAAACTTGACAAACCTTTCGCTAGACATCCATGAAAAAGAGGACTCAAATAAACAAGATTGTGAACAGAAGAGGAGACGTTATAGTGATTACACAGAAAAAAAGGATCATTATAAAAATATGAAAAATCATTTGAAAACTTGATAATGTAGAAGAAATGGATAAATTCATAGAAACATCCACTATTCCAGGACTAAATCATAAAGAAATAAAAAAGATCAAAAACCAATAACAAGTGAGGGAACTGAAGTAGTAATCAAAACTTCCCAGCAAATAAAAACAAGGATGAGATGTTCTTATAGGTGAATTCTACCAAAAGTTGAAAGAATTAATGAGAATTTTTCTCAAACTCATCCAAAGAATAGTATGGAGGAAACAGTACCAAACTTAATGTTCTAACCAATATCAGGTAATAACACTATAAGAATATAAAATTACAGATCATTATCTTGAGGAAAATGGATATAAAAATTGTCAAAAATCACTAGAAAACTGAATTCAACAGCATATTAACATGATTATACATCATAATCAAATTAGATTTGACATTGGGATTCAAGAATGTGCAACATAAATTAGTGAATGTGATAAGCCATGTTAATAAAGTGGAAGACAAAAGTGAGATGAACATCTCAAAAGATGCAAAAGAAGCATTTGATGAAATCAACATCCCTCCCTGATAAATATTCTCAAGAAATGAGTGTAGGGTGGATGTACCTCCATGTAATAAAGGTCTCCTATGATGAGATCACAGCTACATGGCATTCAACAAAGAGGAGCTGACAGCTCTTCCGCTAAGATCAGGAACAAGTCAGCGGGGTTCACCCCCATCATTTACATTAAATATACTATCAGAACTATTGACCATGGACTTAGTCAATAAAGAAATGGAAAGTATCCAAATGAGAAAGAAGGAATTTAAATAATTTCAGTTTGCAGATGGCAATACCTTACATACAGAAAACTGATTCCACACAAAAGCTGTTAGAACTAATAAATTCAGCCACGTTGTAGAATACAAAAATAATATGTAAGATTCAGTTGCATTTCTCTTACCAGCATCAAACAATGTAGAAAAAGTCTAAAAAATGATTCCATTTACAACACTATAATGGAGAATAAAATCATCAGGAAGAAACTGAACCACTGAGTAAAAGAACTGAGCACTGAAAATTAGGATGTATTGGTGAAAGGACTTGTTGAAGACAGAAATAAATGGAGATATCCCAAGCTGACAGGCTGGATGAATAAATCGTTCAAGTGACTTAATTTAAAGACCTAATTTAGGAATGAATTTTTTAAATGCCCGTATGACCTAAAGTGATACACAAATTCAATGCAGTTTCTATGAAAATACCAATGACATTTTTATAGAATTTTTTTTAATCCTGAAATTAGTATACAACCTCAAAAGTCAGGGGACATCTAAAGCAATTTACACAAGAATAACAAAGCTGGAGGCACTGTATTGCTGAATTCGAATAAATGACGAGCTTAAATGAAAGTAGGTGCCATGGACTACTTCTGTGATCACTAATCTATTCCATTGTTTGTGTCTGTTTTTATACTAGATTCAACTGTTTTGATTTAGTATAGTTTTGTAATACAATTTGAGTTCACTAACCAAGATACAGAAAGAACCTAAGTGTCTAACAATGGATAGAAGGATAAAGAAATTACACACACACACACACACACACACAGGAAATTTCATCTATAAAAAGGAAGGAAATCTTGATAGTTGCAAAACATTGGTTAACCTGGCGGATGTCAAGCCATGTGAAACAAGCCAAACACGAAAGTATAAATACTACATGGTGTTGGTTACATGCAGAACCTAAGAATGTCTAACTTACAGAACCAGAGAACAGAATGGCATTTTCCAAGGGTGGGGTTTGGGTAGGGGACATGTTGGTCAAAGAGTAAAAAGTCTGAATATCAAGATGAGTAAGTTTGTGGCTAATAAAGAGCAGGGGGACTATAATGCATAATACTGCATCATATACTTGAAATTTTCTGATAGAGTGTCTCAGTGGTTTTCATCACAAAAACACACAAAATAATCATAACTATGTAAGATGATGGAAGTGTTCCACTAGCTTGAATTTGATAATCATTTTATAATATATATGTATATCAATCAACATATTGTGCACCATAAAAATGTACAATATTTTGTCAATTTTATCTCAATAAAAACTCGGGAAAACAAAAAAATGCATATGGACAGTAGATGATACTATGGTAGAAGACCAACAAATTTAGATATCAAGAAATTAATTAAATAGGATTACACAGCAGGAGACACACAGATGCTGAGAAGTGACTGGTGGTGACCATGTGGGAAGGGTTGGGGTGTGTGGGTGAAACAGGTGAAGGGGATAAAGAGGTACAAAATCTCAATAATATAAATTAGTCAAGGGGATTAAATTACAGCATAGAGAACATAGTCAATAGTTATATAAAATCTTTCTATGTTGACAGTAACTACACTAGTTGGGGTGAGGATTTAATAATGTGTGTAACTGTTGAATCACCATATAGTATATTTGAACAAATATAATATTGTATGTCACCTATACTTCAATAAAAAAGAAGGAAATTAAGTGAAATTAATCCTTAAATATATCTTACCAGTCATTTTCCTCTAGTGTTTGGAGACTACAAAAATAATTAGTATTTGCATCACGATCACCTGCAGGGACTAATAAGTGATAAGTGCATGAAAACCATCTGTAAATGGAGTAAATAAATTTTTCATTAGTTATCTCCTGAGTGTAAGCTATGGTGAGTGTTAGCTGCAATATATCCAGATATGAACCGTATTCTGGAAATTATATTTAGAGGTATGGAGTAGAAGAAAATCTGTTACTTGGATATAGAAATCAAGACATTCTGTGAAAATAACTCAAGTAATTAGATCTAATGCAATGCAGAGGAAATGATAATAAGGAATTGACACATTGTGATAATAGCTATAATCGGTGATAAGTGTATTTTTGACTAAATAGTAAAGTACAAAGCAAATTTTTACAAAATGGGTGAAATGAGGAAGCAATAATATATTGGACATTTCAAAAACAAATATTAGACAAAGGAGAAGAGATAGAGTTCCAATGAAGTAAAATTAATGTCTATGTTGAAAAGCATTCATAGTATGTAGAAACATAATATGTTTTATAATTAAAATGTCAAATATTGAGTCACAAAGATAGTATCAAAATAGATGAAGCAATGATTTTAAAATATGTTAAGCAAAAATCTTTTAGTCAATTTATATTTAGAACATATTAAGGATATCAACTCATTTTGATTTAAATCATTCATTTCAGAAAATGAGAGCAAGGTCATTTTATGGAATTATTTAAATTTTAGAAAAACTATATACATGAAAATATTCATTATTGCATCATTTAAAATGGGGGTTTTATAATACTATTACATTATTAATGAAAATTAATTAGGGACATCATGATTCCTCTCTTTGAATATCTGTGTATTTTGAAAAATTGAACAAATATAATTAATAAGAATAAAAATCCATTCTATGTACTCCATGAATAAACATGATCACTATTATGTTATATTTGAGTACAAACAGATAAATGATGAAGAGGAGAAAAAAAGATTCCATTATATTTTATCTTCAGGTAGAAGATATGATTTTGTCTGCTCTAGTTTTGAAAATATGCTTTACCTGTTGTGGATTTACGCTGGAAATGTGGTCACTTCACGTTCCACATTTCCCCAGCACCCTCCGGAGGGCTCGGGTGACATCGCTGTTCCGCAGGCTGTAGATGAGGGGGTTGAGCATGGGCGTGAGGATGGTGTAGAAGGCCGAGAGCACTTCATCCTGCTCAGCAGAGTTGTAGGACTTGGGCAGAAAGTACTTGATGATACTAGCCCCATAGAACAGAGACACCACGATCATGTGGGAAGAGCAAGTAGCCAAAGCCTTCCGGAGCCCCAGGCTTGATCCCATGCCCAGGACAGTGAATAGTATGCGTCCATAGGAAGCCAGAATGGCTGAGAATGGAGAAAGGAAAAAAATTAAACCACTGACAAAAATACCCTTTTCGTATTGGGAAGTGTCAGTACAGACCAACTTTAATAGGGCTGGGATCTCACAAAAGAAATGATGGATTTCCCTGGAGGCACAGTAAGGGAGATTCAGAGTATAGATAACATGGATGAGGGCATTGAGCAGTGCGCCCAGCCAGGACGTGAGCACCAGGAGTGTGCAGACCTTGGGGCGCATGCGGATAGCATAGTGCAGTGGGTGGCAGATGGCCACATAGCGGTCATAAGCCATGACGGCCAGCAGCAGGCACTCTGACCCCATCAGGGTCGTGAAGAGGAACATCTGAGTGCTACACCCAAAGAAGGAGATGAGATGATCCCCAGAGAGAAAGTCCAGGGCCATTTTGGGGACAAACGTAGAGATGTACAGTAGGTCCATGAGGGAGAGCTGGCCGAGAAGAAAGTACATGGGACTGTGGAGATGAGGGTCAGCCCTAATGAGGATGATTATTGTGGTGTTGCCCAGCAGGGCCACCAGGAGATCCAGCAGGGTGAGGGCAAAGAAGGTCCAGGGAGCGGAGGTGCCTTGAAACAGATCCGAGAGGAGGAAGTCACGCCCCAAAGTCTGGTTGTTCTGCCATGACATCTCTTGTTCCTAGTTTGAAACTTTAGAAATAATATTAAAAGCATTCTGTTTACAGTCCAAGATTATTCTCAGATGAAATCCTGCATATCTTTCCAATATATTGTTAATTTATTTCTCTGGACTTTAACTTTTATTTTAGTAAATAAATGAATTTGCCTTTCACCGGACATCTCAAAACCATCCAAAAGATGACACTTGCCATAAAGTGGAGTTTAAAATCGTGATTCTTCAAGTTTTCTAGAAATTGAAATTCTCAAGCAGTTACATTAAAATTCTACTTTGTAAATGTTCTCTAAACCAAGAAACATACATTAATTAATCAAATCTTTCAGTTAATATCTGTATCAGTAATTACCCATGTTTATGAATAAATTCTATGGGCAAGTATGGAAAAAGCTGGCAAAAAATTCAGTCACAATAAATTTATCTATGTCATCATTAGATCTCTAACACAGAGTCCAGTTACTTCTAGAATTCTGACATGAAATCCTGAATGTGAAATAAAAAGCAAAGTTTAGTAAAGGAAAATAATTTTCTCCTCTAAGGAGCTAATTTCAAAATACAAGGAATGATTAAATGATAACCTTTGAAGCTTGCTATCTTAATTTGTGCTTTAATTGATCCAGTCAAATAAGTAAACTGAGTGGGTGGGAAGGAATGTGAAGTCTAGTTGCTTACATACCTCTTCTTTCATGTGGCTACTAACTGAATGTCCAAATGAGGGGGTTCTTATTGTGTGGCAAGCAGGCATAAAGAGGTTCAGGGTAGAGATCAGATTACACAGTAGGAGGGTATTTTTAATGTTTGAGCTAAAATCTGAATTACTGTCAAACTGATTGTGGCTCGGCAGCAATGTTATTGCTGGAAAAGCCACAAGGATTTTTTTCCTTTCCTTTTATGCCTTGTACCAGTGTCATCTTAAAGTAACGTGTGATAAGGATATCAGGATTCTGATACGGGATAGTAGAAAGCACCCTTTTATAAGATTGGTTTTGGACATCATTTATGTCATGGATATAAAATACTGGTATTTTTCTTAATTTTCAAACTATTCTTTCAGAGGTGATGCATAATGATGAAAGTTAATAAATTTTATATAGTCAGGAGATTTATTTTGTGAAAATTATATTATTTAATAATGTTAAAATACATGTCATGGAAGTCATAAAGGAAATAGTTCTATCAGCCATCACATGTATAGTTGGTTTAGAATTCAAAGCATCTTTAGTGGACCATTTCTTTGAATTTACACCCTAAGACATACATGACAGGAGAAGCATTTGCTGTACTTACCTGTATCCCGACGCAGGGTTTCCCAGAGGGTGAAATGGAAGGCAGAGGGCATCTGTTGAAGGCAGGGTTGAATGTATGAGGAGATCCATGGATGAACACCAGACAATCCCCATGCTTAATTGTTTAGATTTTAATATCATTACACATGAAATGGCATATTAAGTCTTAGAAAACAAGTAATTTTTATAATATAAAATATGCCAAGAGAAGGTGTCTACTCCACTCTCTTATTTAAAATTCACCTGGATTTATCAACCCTTTAATTATAAGGCAAGCATAAAAACATTCATTGTGTAGTAAAAGTAGATTGGTATAATCTGCAGAGCTATAAAAATTTTGAAGAATCATTCAAATTATCCATTATCTCTAACAAGACATAATAGTCATTTATATCTCAGTTTCCAGAGATAGCTCAAAATTACTTTGATTAGATTCATTGGTATTTTAAATTGATTTATCGAATTATTTTTTAACATGTTTTTTATTTTAAAATGGTTTCCAAAATTATATGCTGGACATTTCCTAAAATATTTCTTAAATATTTAAATGTAACTCAATTCAAAATGGATCAACTTAATTGGCTAAAATTTTATTTTTATATATATTTTTTATTTTATTTTTTTTGGTATTATTAATCTACAATTACATGAGCAACATTATTTTACTAGACTACCCCCATCATCAAGTCCCCACCACATACCCCATTACAGTCACTGTCCATCAGTGTTTTGAAGACTATTTAATTCATCGGTTTTATAAAGAGTATAACAGGTAAAGTATATTTCTATATTAGCATTTACATATTAGAAAATTTTTATATTTTAACATATTTATTATGTACATGACAGTCAAATTATTGCCAATCAATGGGAATACATTAACTTTTAGGTAACTTCCCTCAAATAATCCTGAAAAATCCATTTTGTTTAAGGGACATTAAGATAAAAAAAAATCAACCAACAGATATGTTTAATATGTAGCCTGGGCAAAACAGAAATAACATATTTAAGTGACCATTTATTTATCTATGAAACCATTTTCTTATACTTAATTAGCAATCCTCATTCCCTTCAGTTTTCAAAAGATTTTCTGGAAAGACTTCCAACTTTGGAGATACATTCCTATACTAATTAAATATTAAAAACATTTTTCTTACACAAAACTGATGTACTGTATCCTGCAACTGGGAAATTGCACCTGTTTGTGAATAAAATGAAACCAGATTATCAATCCAGGTATGATAAACTGTCTTCTTTCATATAATGAATTAAATATATGTCAGCACCCATCAAACTAACCTCCTTATTCAGAATCCATATAACATGTTAATAATATTGTATAGATGTATAGATGACCTGAAATAGGTGGTTTTTGATATGTTTCATTACATATAAAGAGTTGGAACATCGCATATTACATACCTCAAAAATCATAGTAAACATATTCCTAAGGTGAATTCTTCTGCTTGTTTATATGACCACAACTGATGCTACTTGTAAAGTTTTGCTAATTCATTCTTTCTTTCTTCTGATATTGGAAATACAGAGACAACCTGAACAAAGAAGTTTAAATACCTTGGAAGTATTATTTCAATAATCCAAGGTCAATTTACTTTTCCAAAAATAGTCCTCAAAGGGAATATTACCAGTCTGCATCTCTGATCCCTTAGGTAAACTGCATCAATTACTTCACTGCCCTTCATGATTCTAAAGAAATGAGTACTACTATGTCACATATATCTGGGGTATCCACCACAGGGAAAATTGCTTGTAGTCATCTATCATCAAATATTTAAGTGAATTATCATTTTTAAACACATAAATATTAATATCTATTTGGAAAAGAAACTATCCTGAATCAAAACAAGAAAATAATAAAACTGGTATTTGCAAGCTTCCCATGTAAAGATCTGGGAAATAATCACTCCCATGTATAGTTGAAGAAGTATAATCAATGTCAAAGTCATTGACTTTCTGTATGCTGCCAGAGAACTGAGGTCATGGAAAATTCAACCCCTGTTTTTGGAGAGATAGACACACTAGAGGGTCAAAGAAATGATCTGCATACCTGGAGGACAAGCTCCTAGAGCCAATAACTGACAGTGATAGTTGAATAGTAATTTTGTCAAATTGGTGGGGCTGAGGTAATGTTGAACCAGCTTGAATATGAAAAACTCCTGGGGACTACATGTTAGGATGGAGGGTGATTGGATCATGGAGAGCATCACATTTCATTTTGTAGGGACTAGGATCCAAATCAGGTTTGCATGGAAAATACCATTTGGACAAGCTCCTAGAGCCAATAACTGACAGTGATAGTTGAATAGTAATTTTGTCAAATTGGTGGGGCTGAGGTAATGTTGAACCAGCTTGAATATAAAAAACTCCTGGGGACTACATGTTAGGATGGAGGGTGATTGGATCATGGAGAGCATCACATTTCATTTTGTAGGGACTAGGATCCAAATCAGGTTTGCATGGAAAATACCATTAAAGAACACCTCTGGGCTCTACTACAGGTATGATAACCATTATTGAATAAACTCAGAACATTCTCCATTTCAAGAGCAGATATATCTGGAAGGCAAGTATTTACTAAAGACTTACTCCAGATGAGGAAAAGGCTCTCCTCTAAGTCTGCCTCCTGTGGTCTTCCTCTCCCACCTAAGAGGAGAGAGATGAGACAAAATAATTATAAAGGTTGCAGTTCAGAGATATGGGCCCAATGAAAGACTGGACTTTAATGATAAGATAGAGTGTGCATCTCCATATAAATACTTAACCACCACATCTGCAGGGCTCCAGTGCAATAGCAGTGGATTAAAGCTGAAAAAATTGTAATATATGGATTATATCTAAGAAGGAATTCTTAGACGATCCCAGTGACAACAGGATAGACAAATGTGGGGACTAGAGGAATCTGAAATCCCTGATACAGCTTTCTTTCAATAGAGCTTAACTTCGACCTGTATTGCAACAAAGCTTTCAGAGAAAAGCTCATGCTATTATCCAAGACATCATGTCTAGCTTTCAGCAGTAAATAACAAGACATTTTAGAGAAAGTACATGATCTGAAGAGACAGAGTCAGCATTACAACCAGACTAAAATGTGATACAGATTTTTTAATTCTCACATAAGAAATGTAAAACAAATATGACTGACACATTATGGGTTCCATTGGATAAACTATACAACAGGTAAGAAAGATATGTAATGTAAGAAAATAGATGAAAACTGTAAGAGGAACAACAGGTAATAAATATTTGAAAGTATATTTCAGGTAAAATTATTGTAATGGGGTAAAACTTATGGCCACACTGGAAATTCAACATGGATGAGGAAAGAATAAATGAGCTTGAAAATATGTCAATTAGAAACTTTCAAGACATAGCAAACATTAAAAAAATCAAACAAGAGATCAAGAATTTCAAAAGGAATAGCACACACTTAATGATAGCATACACTTCACTGTAATATTAAAAAGAGAAGGGAGAGGAAGAGAGAATGGAGTTGAAGAAACACTTGAAGAAAATAGCCAAAATCTTCCAAAATTAATTTCAGCCACTAAAGCAGAGATGTAGGAAGCTCAGATACATAAATATGGATAAACACCAAAAAAAATTCATTTAGGCATGTTGTATTCAAATGGCAGAGAAGCAGAAAGAGAAAATTTTGAACGATGTCAGCCCCCACCAAAAAAAATATTT